CTTTGGGTTAATTCCTCTTATCAATTATCGTTAACTGTTGCTGATAGCTTGACGAGACAAACAGCAAGCATGAGTATCCCAGCGCTTCTCCAGGAGCATATTCCTGACCTGAGCTATTACGAATCAGTCTACAAAAATCTTCATCAAAATCCCGGGCTGTCACTCCAAGAGTATCTAGCCTCGGAAACTGCTGCAAAGGAACTCCGAAAGCTCCCCGATTTTGAAGTCCGTACAAACATCGGAGGCACTGGCCTCATTGGAATTCTGAAGAACTCTTCTGGACCTACTGTTCTCCTTCGTGCAGATATTGATGCATTACCCGTCAAGGAATTGACTGGTCTACCATATGCTAGCACAAAAAGAGAAGTTGATGGTGCAGATGGCATTGAAAAGGATGTAATGCACGCTTGCGGACATGATATGCATATAGCATGTATGTTAGCCGCTGCAGAAACATTATCAAAAGCAAAGTCCACTTGGAAAGGTACATTGGTGATATTGTTCCAACCAAATGAGGAGCGAGGCGCAGGAGCGAAAGCTATGATAGAAGATGGATTGTATGATCCTGAAAGGCACGCGTGTCCTATTCCGGATGTGGTATTAGGACAGCATGTAATGCCACTTGCAGCCGGACAAGTGGGAACGCGAACAGGAATCTCTGGATCTGCTGCAGATAGTTTCCGAGTGACGGTTTATGGAAAGGGTGGTCATGCATCACAGCCTCATATGACGATTGATCCAGTCTTTATGGCTGCTAATATTGTGGTACGATTGCAAGGAATCATCAGCAGAGAAGTAAACCCCCAAGACTCGGCTGTAATAACAGTAGGGAGCGTTGTTGCGGGCATGACGGAGAACATTATTGCGGATGAAGCTGTGTTAAAGATTAATGTGAGGAATTTTAATCCTGAGACAAGGCAAAAGGTTTTGAAATCGATCAGAAGAATCGTGAAAGCAGAATGCGATGCTTCAAACGCTACGAAGGAACCCCTGTTCGAACCGACGAGCAGCTTCCCCTTCTTGGTCAATGATGATATCACCACACAAAAGCTATCAGATACTTTCGATGTTGTGTTTGGGGAAAATCATAATCGGAATTGCGCACCTTTGGGTGGATCCGAAGATTTTGGGACCTTGGCAACAGAGGCACCGAACAAAGAGGGTGGAAAAGGTGTACCTTCCTGTTATTGGCTCTTTGGTGGTACAGATCCTGAAGTCATCAGGAAAGCTAAGGAAGCGGGAAGGATGGAAGATGTCCCAATCAATCATAGTCCATTGTTCGCGCCGGTTATACAGCCAACACTAAAGACTGGTGTGGAAGCTTTGGTTGCAGGCGCGCTGACATTTCTGAAAAGTTGAGAAGGGCGTCTTTAGAAACGTCTAAAGATGTACGTTAAGATTAAATAGAATACCGTGATAAGTCAAGTACACCAGATTTGCATTGTGAATGAAGGTTGACTTTCGAAATTTATCGACTTGCCAATCAGCCAGCTCCACTTTTTCACCAATAAAGCGACGGTGACATTAAGGAAGAGGACTGTCCTTTATATATCTAAGATAGACACATTCCTTCGAGAGTATGAAGTGAGTTGGCGCAGTGGTAGCAACTCCGGTTGGGACCCACATATGCTCCCCAGGCTTTGCCTGGTAGGTCGTGTGTTGCGTTTCCTGGCGCACTCAGTATACGATCCCCTTACTACCATGCCTTATGGCGGGTTCATATTCTTTTATTCTTTTTACCATTTGTTCAATTTTTTTCTTCCACCTTCTTTTGGACATCTCAGACTTCCACGGTCATGGTGGGTGCTGTATTGGAGAAGTAATTTGTGGAGCATTCTGTGTGTTTTGCAGGTTTGAAGATATTCACTCTCCTTAAATTGATTAAATCAGGCGAAGGTCTTGTACAGAATTATCATCCACAGGAACTTTCGGGTCATGTCTTTGTCTTCACCCTTGCAACCGCCGTTGCATCCCAAAGTACTATCGAACTGACAACATTCAATTACTTGTATCATGACAACCGACTCACCATCTTTCAAGTGGCGCGCTCAAGCAAGCTTGGACACTCTTACTTTGGCTCCTCAGGACGTGCAAAGCATTTTAAAGCCTCAGATAGAGGCAGGAGATGCATCTGTTTTAGAGTACATCCTTAACGTGGAGATCCCAAGATTTAGGAGTTTATACACGACCTCTGGTAAGTTTTGTTCAAATTCCTGATATCAGATAGTCTGGACTGCAGTCGAACAACCAAAATTCTTAGAGAATTCAACATCTTTGAGATATCGAGGTCCTTCAATGTATCAAATGGAGTTTGAGTAATGGCATTATCGAAATCTCGAAACCGAATTCTTACATTGCGGTCTAGACTATTGGAAACCTAATTGTTATTTACATCCAAAGCTACCTATGGCATCTAACAAATTACCAGTTGATGGCACACGACCGAAACCACCGTTTTTCGATAAAGCTCCGCCCGAGGATATCCTTCAATTCTTCCAATCCTTCACTTCCGCAAACGACAAGCAGCCGCCGCCGACTACGGCTAAAGCTCGAACCAAGATATTCGACCTCGTCAAACCCAAACAAACTTTCAACAGAGTCCAGAAGCAGAAGAGGGCAAAGCTAGCGAGAGCTCCTAGTATCAAAAGCTACATTATCCTATTGAAAAGTCGAGAGAATGAAGGATTTTCGTTAGGCAGTGACGGTCAGCCGCCATTCGTACGCTTGCCTGTCGCACTTCTTCTCAATTCCTCCACTACTTTCAAGCATCTCGTGGAAGCCAAGCGCCAGAGACTCCTCGATGACAGATGGGACGGAGTCTGTTACAATCCAAGAACCACCCAGCTTAAAAAGGCATATCTTACCGAATTCACCGTATATATCGACGCTCTGATTGAGGGCACTTGGGCGAAACAGAAAGTGGGTTATGCCGAATTAGCAGCATTAGGGAAGGAGATAATCTGGGATCTTATCGTAATGTGGAGCAACATCGTGAAGGGAGGGTCAGACTCCGGCCAAGGTGAAGAGGATAAAGGAGTGGGCGAAGAAGATTTGATTAATCTCGCTATTCTGGGCAAATTCCTAGACGTCGAAGAGGAGTTTTTCGAAAGGTTGAAGAAGGTTGAACACGGGAGAGTGCAATGATGTCAAGGAACATCAATGAGGAGATATAGACCTAAACTCTCTAGCTACCTATAATATATGAGGAATAGAACATCGAACGGATAGTTCTTACCATTGCATTTGCATCTTTGAACATATTCTAGCATTGCCATCTGCGATTCACCGTGGAACTTCAGGTTGCGTTACACTAGAAGCTCTCAATGACTTGAGACACCAACTCCACTGTGAATAATATACTGCCTCCAAACATTGAAAGCCTTTGATTGTTTGACTTAAGCACGGATTATCAGAAACTCCGATTCGGAATGCTGTCGGTTTGATCTTCTGGCAGAAATCATTTCATTGGTCGAGTCTCAATAAGGTAAGGTGCTCCATACAAGGAAAATCCGTTACCGCATCCCATTTCTATTTTGCTTCCAAGAGAGTTTGCGATATCGTTGAGTATCCTCTCTATATCTGTTGTTGGGCAACATGTCTACAGTTCTTCTACTCGCTTAATGAAGCGAGGGACAAGCACTTTGATTGCCTGATCTTGCGGGAAAAGGATCCTCCAGTCTCTTCTGCATCGTCAGCCTAACTCATGTTTCTATTCCTCGATATAAATCATCCAAAACGTCATTGATACGCTAATGAAGATCAATCGTTGAGGATTAGATAACAAGTGGATAGGAATAGTTAGCATTGGTGAATGTAACCCTATAAAGAAAATGCACCACACTTCCGGCTTGCAAACACAAAATTTTATTTTATTTTACAGAATTCAAGACTCAAGCGCCAATTAAGTTTTTCAGTTTGGTAAACTTTTCTTGATTCTTAATGGGCAGCTCAGATACGCAAGAATCGAGATCAGGTCATAGAGATGGACATCTAATTGAAGTATCAATATCCCCCACACTCTTAAAATGACGCGCGTTAATCTGAATTGCCGTGTGGTGGAGATTATTTATCCTGAAAACCCTCGAACTATGCTTGTTGATCTAGACGAATCGATGATGGGTTTTCATGGAGGTCCGTTGGGGTTTCGAGCTGTGGTGTCGGTCAGTCGTGTAACATGTGAAATTCCTCAGCAAAAATTGCTAAGATCACTACTACTACAAAAAAATGCTCAAAAGGTCCAAACATCTCCACAATCTGGCGCAATCTGAAGATCTGTCAAGGACGAAACTTAACAAGCATGTACTTATCAAATCATGGGTATTCATTGGAGTATAGAGTTTTGGATAAAGTCATGTTCTTATCGGTTCGATTTTGCCGTTCTTTTATTGTTTCATGTATATTTGCCGTCCGAGAATTATTTCGGACAACATACCTCAAGTCACTGCATCTAGCGATTTTACTGGTCACAATTTCCCCTTGGACCTTCAAGATTATCCCGCATACAAACCGTACATGTGCCTGAATTACGATTGGGTAAAAATATCGTGGGGGTGATTGAAAAGAGTGCTAAAGCCTGGATGGAAGTAAGCCGCAGGGGTTAGCGACAGGACAAAAACCACCTTGGTAAGTAAGGATTTTCCGGAGACAACTTCAATTCGGTAGGTAGCAGAATATATTGATTTGAGATGATAAGGCACTACATATTGAGGTCCTTTCGAAGATCCGGCACTCAGCATTATAAAGTTATTTCATTCTCCCGTTCTCTACAAGTTATTTACTTAGCGTTTGGCGACAAGAACCCCACGATTCATTCCTTTACATTCTACAGGCCTTAAGTTTTATTCTAGTTCTCATATTACATTTGCAGTGTAAGAAGATTTCATTCCTTATTTACTTTCATGAATGTTTACTGATATTCCTAGGCAATTATTTTACTGTTTCCGAAAGTTTTCTTCATACCTATACATTCAGAATCTAACACGAGATCACCAAAAGACACAATGCAATTCTCAATCCTTACCCTCGTTCCTCTCCTCACTCTTGCGACAGCCGCTCCAACCACCACTAGAAGTAGAGCAAGCCTCGTTCAAACCTGTGTAAAGGCCGACCTCGGTAAACCATGCAATGCTGGTTTCATTAGTGGCGTCGCAGCAATTGGCCTTTGTACTTCTACTGTCATTAACGTGGAAAGTGGCGTTTTTGCCTGCTCTGTTGAGACAACAAGCACAGCGACCTCTCCTAGAGCATCCACCTCAGTCTATGGTGATGCAGCGACGGACAAAGGAAAGCATTTGAAGGACTTGAGAAGGATTGTTGAAAGAGGTATCCTGTTGTTTTGAAGTCAGATGGAGCGAAAGGGGTTGAATCGTGAAGGAAGATAAAAGGGACGGAAATGATATATGCTGGACAAATCTTGGATCGGATCTTTTGTTTCTTACACTCTTTAAGTAAAGTTATTCTCTTCAATTGACGGGATATAAAAGTGGCATACAGTGGGATGTGAATGAGTATAAAGCGCTATGAACAAGTGACAAGTCATCACTTGACTATGAACCAAACGCTAGAATGTACTTACCATTGACTGTTTTTATTTTTCGTTGTTAAGCACTCCTTTAGCTATGAGATGGATATCACTGTATTTTAGCCAGATACACGCAGGCGTCTTTCCACATGGATCAATTCAACCTTTTGAAACATTCAAGTCATTTGGAACATTGCAACCATTAGGGACAATAAAACCATTGGTGGAATCGAACCTGTTTGAAGTATTGAAACCTTTATAGATATCAAAACCACTGAAAACATTGAAATCTTGTGATATATTGAAAACCTTGAAGAAGTTGAAGCAGTTGGAGATACTGAAATCAAAGGAGGTATTGAAAGCACCTGGGACTTTGAGATCATGTAGAATATTGAAATCTTGTGATGTATTGAAATCACGAGATGTAGTCCACCTCATGAGAAAGTAGCAAATGATCTCCAGGTAAATTCCACATGAGTCATATACCGGTACTTCAAACTCCTTTTTGCAATTCGTGTTTCCTTATTTCCAGGGCAGGTGTTCATTCGTGGTATGTAAAAATTCCTTCCAGCTATTAGGATTCTGTCAACCTTTTTCTCTCTTCCTTAATCCGCAATAACTCCCTCATCTTTGAAGATAATACCCATGACGAACCAGGTCCCCGAGCTATCTCGAATGTAAAGTCCGTAGGCAAATTCAAAGGGTGGCATTGAATGCTTGACTTTGATGTGAATTAGTAGATGTTTTCCCGTGCTGTGAATATCCACTCTGTCACGAGTTTACTGCTTTTTCGCTTGCTTAATCAACTTTTGCATCCATAGAGCATTGTACAGTGATGCAAACACTCAAAAGCGGCCAATTGTTTGGGAAACTCATCAAAAATCAATAGATTACTTTTTTCAGCACTCACAATAAAAACATTGCATATAAGAGAAAGGACCAGCGATTGACCACTTGGTGTCATGGGCTTAAATTCTACACTCTGAAGAAGCACAGGTAACTCGGCATGATGGGCAAATATTTTGGCCATGAAGAATGCAATCTTGCCAATGAAGCGAATGCTGTGACATATGCTATTGATAGCAATCCAGTAATTTCGGTGAAAAGACTGAGGGATTCTGTATCGTTGATGCGCGGTAACTTTTTCCTTATATGCAAAAGCACCTCTTTCGAATAATGCATCCGCTTGTATAAGGTCATGTATTCTGGTTCCTGGGAATTTGTGGGGTAAAGGTGCGAGTCAATTCTACCGATCTGAAGATACCATACCATGCTCTTCGTAAGCAAAGCCATACAAACCCATAACTTTGAGATCTTGGAAAGTATCTCTATTCCGACGGAGTTTGATTGAAGAAAGATCAAGGTCGAGATGGAGATGGAGAGGAAATCGAGAGGGGAAGACCACCAAGGCTAAATTTCGGCTAGCAAAATTCACATTCCCGGTATGTCATATTTGAGGGCCCACCTACTAAGAAGTAGATATTGAATGAGGATGCTCTTATGATAAGAGTGCAACTTGCTCTTTATCTTGTTGAATAAGAACGACACTCGAATCGATTTACTTATTTGATATTGAACAACAGGGCACTCATTGATCAGTACCTTCACAAACAGACCTTGATGAGCCAACGAAGATGGTCGCACCATCGTTTTTATCGACGAGCATGGAACACTACAAGCATCACTGCATTACGTATATCTCGTTTATTTCAATTTCACCAAAACAGAACCATGTCACGATCAACAAGTTGATTTCGAAGTATTTGAGGTTTTTTTCATTAGAGTCCTGCAACAGCAGCTTCAACTCTAAGGTGTTATCAAGATCGTGATCCTACATCATCTTTCAAGACTGCCGAAAAACCCAAGTACTTTAACACCATACCAAAGAAACCCAGCTGCAAACAAGATACGGAAACTCCAATATCTGCGAAAAGCTAGACCAGAAACAACATTCGAATTCCGAATAAATCCTCCAGTACCTGCAGAGCCATTGCTTCCTGCCAGGACTTACACCATTTTTGACCCATTAACATCAAATCCATCCATTTATCCTCTTAGTCACCCCATCTCAAAACCCTTTTCAAACCACAAAGCCCTTCCCATTTTCCGAGTAATTCATCGCCATAACTCCACCACAATGCCGTCCACCAATTTCAGTAACCATTGGAGAACTCCAGCTCGAGAGCAATCATTTCTGCAAAATTTCAACCCCTCCAGTGATTCTTTTCTTCATTCCTCCATTTCACCATAAAGTTATAAGCATTCCAGGTTAGATCATTGCATAAGAGTAGCTCCTTGCCTAAGGGAACATCTCGTTGCAATTCCGCCGCCACTTTCATTGATGCTGATAGGAGAAAAAACCCGTGTATGAAAATAAGTCCTCGCCAAAGGAAATATCTACCTTCCAGGTTTCTTCTCCTATAGTTTCTGTTAATTTGAAGATTGCGATACACAAGAGATTAGATCATTGCCTAAGAGAGCATTTCATGCTATGTTGCCTCCGCATGATAAAGTTTTTGATAGAAAGTGGTATGTCAGAATGAGTGCAGCCTCGCCAAAGGAAGCATCCATCTTTCACATTTCCTCTTATCATAGACCTTAAGAAAGGAGAACAAAATCTGTCAAACTGTCCCTTGCCTAAGGGGATGAGTAAAACCTGGTTCAGTTCATCCCAATCATGGTGCGTAGTCGTGCAAATGCCGGTGTTGAGGCGCTGGAAGGAAAGAACTGGAAATCGAAAATTTTTTCAGTGTACAGAAGTTGTGAGAATGATTCCTCGTTGAAATTTAGAAGCAGGAGGATCCGTCATGAAAATCTTCGGAAAAAGATAACCTACAAAGAACTCATTATTGAAGACGCGTCCGCCTTCTCATGAAATTCTTTGCAAATCCAATGTGAAGTATTCATGATTAGATGATTCCCATAACATTGAGTTGTTTGGAGAACGTTAGATTGGGGTCACTCGAAGTGTTGGTAGGACCATTTGGAAGGGTCGCCGCCCTCGCAAAGAATACAATCAAGCCCGAAGAAGAGAAAAACAGAGCAACATATAATACAGAAAATTAGACTTCTCTGACGGCCCATAAGCTTGAAGCAAGTATGGTACAGTAAGGACTTGTCGAAATCTCTTGAGATTTAATGCTTGCCAGAAAAAAAACTGGCAACACGTTCAAAAGAAGTCTTGAAAGCTTCCCAGGTAGCGACGACTGACTTGACCTTGACGACGAATCGGTGTAAGTGGAAAATTCCACTTCGGTATAAAATCGGGGTCAGGTAATAATCATATTCAGGAAGAACAGCAACTGTTGTGACCTGAGGGATTTGTACAGAAGCTGAAGCCGTTGCTGGTATCACCGCTAATCGAGATATCGTGCGCGTCGCAAAATGAGATGCGTTTATTGTAGCAACTGGGATAATTGCCGGTCTCGGTGCATCAATTAATTGGACGACCCCTGGGGTAGAGGAGATGGCAGGGCCTCCAAAGTAGTTAACAAGAAAAGGGGTCAACAAAAGGATGAGGACAACTATTGACCAAGAGTAAACCTTAAACCTAGAAAGTGATTTTCCCTTCCTAACAATCACTGGGATTGGAGTTTGTTCATCAAGTAATGCGCCATTCATGGCTGATCCATCACGATTAGCGGTCTCGTGTACAAATGTAGAAGTTGCAGGATCGAATGTGACAATACTCGCAAGATTGAGGCTGTTCTCTTGTCCCTCAAAAGCCAGGGCAGATTCCTGGGTAGTTTGAACATCTTGACCGAGAATTGTGGAAGATGTTAAAAGTGCTTCCTCGATTTCGGCCTTGACGCTTTCAGCCAATTTTTCTCTGAGCTCGACCTTGGTGCTTTCAACCAATTCTTCTCTGAGTTCAACCTTGATGCTCTCAGCTAATTCCTTTCGGAGTTCGGTCTTAACATCTTCAGTGAATTCGGCTTTGGCATCGGCTCTAGCGTTTTCGAGCCCAGCTCGAGCGGTCGCCTTCATGAGCGCAATTTCAGACGCGTCTGGTACAAATGAAGATGCTCTGAGGGGTGCGTCACGTACGATAGTACGTGTACGGACTGGAGTTACCGATTCCTCTTCTACCTCAAAAAGGTCGTCTTGATCAGTTGCATTTTGAGGATGACTTTTTAGCAAAATGGTCCTTGAGCATCGCAGTTTTACCCATGCCCGAATGAGCGTTGAGAGCAACAGCATGATGTTTTCTTCGACTCTTTGTGAGCAGTTTGCTCTTTGACAAGCAGCTCTACTGTCTCCGCTAACTTTTTCTCTGCCAACTTTGCCTTCGTATCGGTCTTCACGATGATATCTTCGCCAATTCAATCTCTGTTTGAAGCTTGATGAGACCTCCCCGAATTAGTTTGTTGGAAGATTGGACGTCCAGGACTGAGTCTTTGGCAACATCAAGTTCACCTCTGATCTGGTTCTTTTCCAACTCAGAAGCACTAACAGATTGTTTGGTTTCCAAGACAAGTTTCTGGACAGAAGCTTCACCAGCAGAAACTCAGCTTTGAGTTGCTGAATCATCTCATCATTCTCCTTTGACCATTTCCTGTTTTTGTCTTTGTACCAAAGACAGCCTATGATGGTGACCATCAATCTCCGCATCCTTCTTCTCGACGATGTGTTGGTGGTCTTGTCGAACAGCGAGCATGTTTTTTTCGTAGTCTTTGTGGATCTTGGTGATATCAGCCTCAAGGGCGTTGATCCTAGTTTGTTGCATGGTCTTCTCGGATTCAAGATTTTCGACTGATGTGCGAAGCTGTTGGATCTTATTGGCAGAGCTGGTGATATCAGCCTCAAGCGTGTTGATCTTCATTTGATGCATGGTCTTCTCGGATTCAAGCTTTCGATTGATGTGCGAAGCTGTTGGATCACACTGGCAGAATTGGTGGAACTGAATTTGAATAAAGCTTGGTTAGCGGCGAATATGGCCTTTTCTTTGGCTTCGATAGCTTGCGAGCGTTCAGCATTGGCATTGTTGAGGTCATTCTTGGCTGTGTTAAGCTCTGCCTGGAGTGAGTGAATGGTTTGATTCAGACCATCAATGGTGGCAGATCTTTCGGAAACACGGTGGAATTCTGGCCTCATTTTCTCGATCTCCGCCATTACGGAGGCAAGGTTTACCTGCACATCGCTTTCTTTTTGCACGGAATCATTGAGCTGTTGTCTGGTAGTTTCAGCTGTTGCACAAGTTGGTCCCGCTCATTTTTGAGTGACTGAATTCTTTCCTTCGTAATTCTTGTGCTCGAGCATCATCAATTTCCCTTCTGGCTTCGTCTCTCTCCTTGGTGGTTTCCTCAATTATAAAATCAGAAAGGTCCAGTGCTTTGGCATCAGCAATGTCCTGCCTTAGTCGTTCCCCTGCTTCCTGTAGTCCGTTGATCTGAACGTACAACTCCCTGCACTCATTCTCACGTCCCTCAAGAGCGTGCTGAGTTCGTTGTTTTTTGTTCGTAATTGGTCCATTTCGGTCTGGTGACAAGACTTCGCAGCTTTCAACACATCTTGTGCAGCTTGTAACTGTGCGCCTTGAATTGATCTTCGCTCTCCAGACATTGATTTTCTCCTCAAGTTCATCAACTTTCTTCTCTAGGTCCTCTTTTTCTCGAATAATTCGACCATTGTACTTGGCCAATGTACCCTGCTCATTTCGCAGACGTTCGATAATGGAGTTGCTCGCAGTGGCATTCTCAAGACGCTGTATCCTCCAATCTGCTACTGTTCCTTATACCAAGAAGCTCTTCGACCTGCTTGCTCTTGTCCATACACTTATTTTCTAATTGACGCCGGTCGGCTTTGAGGTCGACGATTCCTTGTCAAGTGTGCTGAATCTTTTCTTACAATCCTTTTTATAGGTTTTCAATTCATCACTGACAGCTCCGAGCTGAAGCTTAAGCGTGTCTTCGTCGACTTTTTTGCCGCCATTGAACGAAATTCCAAATATCTTGGATGACTGGGAATTTATGGTTACCATCTGCAGAGACTGGAATCCATTAGTACAGCTCACATAAAGGATTCAAGTACCAGATATCATACCTGTTCCGTACATTCCGGCGCCGAAGATCACCGCTTCTTTCTTCTCCGCTGGTGTGAGTTGGTTACAACTCCTTCACTACCATGCTGAGGGTCGAGTACACCAGGCTCTGCAATTTATTAGCGCAATTCACGTAGAAAGTTTGAGAAAGAATGTCATACCCGGGCCGAGGGGTGTCTCCCATCTCTGTGTCAACGGATGGTTGAGCTGCTCCCTCATTAAATTTGATCTTTGGGCAAGTAGCTGTTGTGGAGCTTTTTTCTTACGTGGATCGAAAAGATTTGGCTTGACGCCTGGAGCTAGGTTGTCGAGGCTGTTCTTGGACATTTTGAGACTGTGTGTGGAACCAGTTAGCAATGGTGCAGAACATTTAGGCGCCGAAGAGAGATTGGAAGAATTAACACTTGGATCTTCAACTTGGAATATTTGGGTATCTGTAAAGAAGATGAAAGCCGTAAAGGTTGAAGTTTGAAAGTCTTTATGCTTGGTAAATTTCCTCTGTTGATGGAATTAATTAGCAAAGCGCACGACGAATGATTTGTGGCCGTTGATAGATCGAGAAACTTACGTGTAACGGCGTTCTGTTGTTCTGTTGATGAAGTTTCTGAAGATTTAATAGTTTCAATAACTTGCAAAAAGATTATTTTGGTCTTTGTGTAAAGAGTTTTGATGAATATGAAAGTTTTGGTTGTGTTTCTTACAGTTGGAAGAGGTGATGGGGTTGTTGAAGAGGTCGAAATTTGCAGATCCTTAAGTGTATATTTCCAATCTTGATTGTGCGCGCTAGTGAGATTGTAGGTGAATTATCACAGGTTTACTGACGGTTTATCACGCAACCTAGGTAAAATTAGAAAGGCTGTGAATGGAGAAATTTGCTCATCTAATTGACATCGTCGCGTGGTGAATATTTTTCAATGTGGGGCTCAGACAACCTCATTTCCATGACAACACTTACAATTACGGCAGCTTTGACTCATTTCACTTTTGGAGAGGAAAATAAAAAGGACTTAGATCGCGGACTTCGGATGACAGTGCATTCTATGTTTGTATTCATCATATGATCTTGCGAGATTAGACGAATGTCTAGTAGGACACTCGCTTAATGTTCCAAGTTTGCTAGATCTTTTGACCCACAATTCTATGCTACTAGAAATGATATCAAAGTCGAATAGATGCGACCTATTTAAATTAATCACCAGCAGATTGATAGCAGGGAAAACAATTTCTGGAAGTGTATATAATGATTTGTAGTAACATTGACTTATCCGTCATGTTTCGCTTGGAAGCAAAGAGAGTTAGGTTGATGCCGACCAACCGACACATATGTCTCTTTGTTTTGGACTGAAGCTGGTCTCTGTTGCTCTATTCTGTCTGCAATCTTTCATGTCCATCCATAAGGGTAGAAACTGCTTATATTTATGGCACTACAGCCTCATATATCTTTAGACTCAACAAATTCATGCCCCTTTATCATGCTTCCTCTCGCCGTACAGCAATTCCAACGCAGATGATAAGGCAATAATAGTTTGTCATTAATTGAGGGTGAATTTCTTCAGGTGCGAGAGCACACCTCGGCAGTCAGATGTTCCAAGGTTATGATTGTTCCTTGGAAAAATGACAATATTCAGGTGACAAATCAAGGAAACTTTCATCTTGAAAGAACTACCTAGGTATTTGTGATTAGCTACCTCGGTATCTAGTGAATGCCGATGAATGACTGCAGAAGCCGAAAAAGTGTTGAATCTCTCGATCTTTCAATGCACAGATTTGGAGATGTCCAAAGTGAGGCCGCTTTTGGGGGTTATTCCTTTTTTCGCGTTGTACTATGAAAATCCAACGGTCTTTGAGTAGTGATTCGTAGGTAGTCTATAGCTCTTATCAAGATTCAAATTATTCTAATAATTATTAAAGAGTGCGGTGCTTCAAAACAATATTCGGCAACTATTCCGGACATCATTATCAATATCATTATTAACTACCTATGGCGCTTTGTCCCCCGCTCTTCTGGAAGTCAGATTCGGGTTCCCATTTTGATAATCGCCCGGTATGATTACATCTTTAAATTTAATTCAATCCTTTGAAATGTACTGGCTCGTGCAAATAGTTTGACTATTGTCACTAGCATTCACTAGCATTAGCAATTTCAAAGGCACAAGCTACTCAGACCGAGCATTATCGATCCATTTTAACTTTTAAATCCGTAAAGAATGTGAGTATTCTCTTCAGAGCCTTGTTTAAACATCCATGGATACTTTAAGTTCTGTGACATGTGATCATGTAACTACTGCCTGTCATCTATTGCAATCTGAACTTAGGTGCATGAGCCCTTGATTAGGTAGCCAAATAAGAGATTCCAGAAATTTTGGCTCCATTGATAGACAGAATCCCTTTCGTCCAAAGCCCCAATCAGCTTCCCTACCTCCAAGTGTTCGTGCAAGTACCCTACCTAGCTTTGATAATGAAACCCCACACTGAGAGCTACGAATGGAAATCCGACACTTTACCTCAGGCAAGCAAAGAAATTCAAAACATACAATCAAAAATGAGCCGTTGGCTTTGATAGATTCATTTCAATCTACAAACATTCAGCTAAAGATCAATCTTATCATAAGAGCGTTTTTGAGGGCATATCTTGATTAAGGGCCTATTACATTAATGGTACTGTCGGATACCTGGCTACTGCCAGATATTGAGTCGAAATATTGAGCCAAAGACCATGAAACTAGAAGAATTCAAGCCGGCTGTGACTCCACAGAAGAATAGATTAAGCTTGATAGCACCTACTTGAACCTTGGAGTTAAGATTTTGGCACCATGGTTAGGTCACCATAGGATCTCGTATACGTTTTAGCTTTTCTTCACCACATGGAGACGATATTGTTCTAACATCTATCCATATAGACTATAATAGCACGAATTGTCAGTTGCTGAGGGCTTGAAGCGTGGTAATTCTCGCTGCATCCAATCTAAGCTTGTTTCATCTTTAGGCATACTAATTTCTCTATCACGTTTTGACTATTGGACATTGCATTACCGATTTAACTGGCATGGTTCTCTTTCTATTAAAATCCAAGATCATCTCTCCAAATTTGTGATTGAAGCACGATTCAGCTGTTGATTTGCATGTTTCTCTCATTTGGTGGCCTATGCGAGTCTTTTAC